TCATGCTGTGGGCGGTTTGAAACCACCAGTATAGTTGGTGGCAATGGAGATGGTGAGGGTTAGGGTTAGGGTTACAAGGGTGTCTGAAATAGGGACAGATGAGGTCTTAGGCTTTCCTGAAAGCTCTAAGAAAGACCTTTCCAACAAGCCCAAGCATTCCCCAAACCCTACAAAATTGCCTTAGGAATCAGCATTTGAAGTTGCCAAAATTCTGCCACAGTCACGTGATGCAGCACTGCCCGGTGCTCTTTTGACGCGTCTAGCTGTGCACGTGATGCAGCACTGCGCGCGCATTCTGGACGCGCCTGACCACGCACGTGATTATGTGCGCTCTTTGCTCGTCTAGCTGTGCACGTGATGCGCTCGCTCTTTTGACGCGCCTAGCAGTACTTGTGATGCAGCACTGCACGCTCTTTGATGCGTCTTGATCCCGCACGCACGCACACAAGCACAGGTTTTGGCTGTGAGATCAAATTTGATCCCGCACACACACACACGCACCCACGGGTTTTGGCTGTGTGATCAAATTTGATCCCGCACGCACACACATGGGTTTTGGCTGTGAGATCAAATTTGATCCCGCACGCACGCACCCACAGCTTCTGGCTGTGAGATCAAATTTGATCCTGCACGCACCCATGCACACACAGATTTTGGCTGTGAGATCAAATTTGATCCCGCACGGCTTTTGGCTGTGAGAACCCTGCGCCCGCCTGGTGTCCGGCTTCCAGTGCAGCACCTGGTGCCTGGCTGCAAGTGCGCATGCTTGAAGCTATGTTACATGTTTCATTGACACCACCACTCACTCACATTTGCGCTCTTCAATATGTTGCCACTTAACACCCGTTGGACAAAGCCTCAAGACCTTGATGGCTATAACATGACTCTGATGCCAGAAGCGCTCATTGATCCATTTGGCAGTGATGCATTGGTCACGCTGAGCAGCTATGCGCCAAACATACGCGATGCAAAGAAGTACAAAGACTGGGTTTATGTTGCATCACCGGTTCAATACTGCAAAATAGAGCTGGAGCTCAAGTTGCCGCTCTTGGACCATCTCTCTGGTAAATACGCTCTAGATGCATCAAAGCATGCCACAGCACTGATCAATGGAAAGCAGTCAATCCATCTTTCTCAGCTTGTTGAAGCGCTGGTCTGCATTGGATGCACTGCTGTGCGCGTCCAGGCATATGGCATGAAGAGCTCTCTCAAGTGCGTGGAAACCAAGTGGTTTGGAGATGCAGATCATGACCTCGCAGGAGACAACACTTGGGACTTGGGTGCCATGTACCGCACACGCACCATACCGCTGTTCAAGCCTGCAGCATCACGTGCAACTGGAATGCAGGTTGATCCGATGCTGCTTGCGCTTGGGCGCGGCTATGGCTCTGTTGACGCACAGCTGCAGTACGAGGAGCAGGACTACCGTGTCAAAGTTTATCCGCGCCTTGTGCATCGCCTCAAGGCCCTTGCAGGGAAGCACCCACGGTGGCCACCAAGCTCTGTGCGGATGAGCAAGGCTCGGCTTTCATCACTTGAGCGCAAGGCTGCCCTCCTGCAAGAGGGCTTTGAAGAAGATGACTACTTCCTGGGAGGATGCCGCATTGAGGTCACCATCACAGCACCAACGCTAAATGCAGCTGTCAAGCAGCTTGCGCGCACTCCTCTGCTTGCACTTGAAGAGTGGCTGCAGCCGCTGAGCGAGGAGCTGGAAGACTTGCAAATTCAGGTGATTGAAGTCACACCTGACTCTTTCTTTGCGCAGTGGGCATTCATGAAGGCTCAACAGGTGCAGCTGAGGCTGTTCAAAAGGGATCACAATGCGCAGGCAACACCACTTGAGAAGTGTGTGCTTGTCGATTTTCAAAACTGTCTAGGATGGAATGCAGGGTACCGTGCATCTACACGGCACACAGACTCTAATGCATGGTGGCTCAGTGCTGTGCATATGAGCGCACTTGCTGCAGCAGCACCAGTGCGTGCAGCAGAAGATGCGCAGTGGCAGGACATCACCCTTGGCCACATAACAGAGATACCACTGCTGCGTGAACTCTTCAGCATCTTGCAGCCGCACATGATGTGCCGCTACTGCCAGCTGGATGACAGCCGCTACATCCGCAACTGGGATGCCAAACAGCAGCGCATCAAGTGCAACAAGAAGGGACGCGGTGGTACATGTCAAGGTCCGCAACTGTATCTCAACAAAGAGCAGGCATTCCTCGCATCTTGGGTGAACAAGCTGCAGATCTGCCTCGACAACAAGTTCTTAGCTGGCGCACCAGCATCAGCTGTCCCTGCCAAGCGCACACGCTCTGAGTGCTGGGTGGAAGTGCCTGTGACGCGCCGCAAGACTTCTGCGCTGCGCACCGCTAATGCACCATCTGCCACACGCATCACAGCTGAAGCTGAGCCTAACCCACTGCATGCAAGCCCAACCGCTCAATCAGCATTGCTGGGAAATTGTTTGCGCATATCAGACTTCATTAAAGGTGACGGCAACTGCCAGTTCCGTGCATGGGCGCACCTGCACTACAGCAACCAGTCACGCTTTTGGAATGCACGTCAGGTTGCTGCAGCATGGCTCAAGACGCACGCGCACATTGTGCGTGAGTTCTATGCGCCAGAGGATCCCACTGTGCTTGACCAACACAGTCCCCTGGACCTCACCACTCGGCGCTCGTACGCAAACATGTGCGCTGAAGTTGCAAAAGCTGGAACATGGGGCAATGAGTACTCACTGTTTGCGCTTGTGAATCACTTCAAGTGTGCAGTGCGGGTGTTCATCAAGATGCAAGATGGTGCGCTCATTACGCATGATGTCACTGTGTGGCAGGCAGAAGAGCAAGAGCCAGTATATCAGCTGTACTTTGACGCGCACACACGTCACTATGAAGTAGTGCTGTGAGTGCTGTGCGCGCTCATGCACGGGTTTTGGCTGTGAGATCAAATTTGATCCCGCACGCACCACACACTCACGCACGCACGGGTTTTGGCTGTGAGATCAAATTTGATCCCACACACGCACGCACGCACGGACGCACGCACACACACACACGTGACCGTCACGCTGCACGCACGGCTTTTGGCAGTGAGATCAAATTTGATCCTGCACGCACAGACGCTATACATATGCCCCGAGACTTTTACGGCGCAAAAGCGGATGCGCAGCCAAAACCCCCGCCAAAAGACGCGTACGGACGTCCATGGAGATGGCCGGAGCTACTTTTACGCCGCAAAAGCGCGCAGACAAACCGCGCGCCATATGCTGCCATACGCTGCCATACGCGCCATACATATGGCGCAGTGTCATACATCCGCTGTGAGATCAAATTTGATCCCACACGCGCGCACACAGGGTTAGGGTTAGGGTTAGGGTTAGGGTTACATACGGGTTCCCGGGAGGGGTTAGGGTTAGGGTTAGGGTTAGGGTTAGGGTTAGGGTTAGGGTTAGGGTTAGGGTTAGGGTTA